AATTTTAATAATTTTAATAATCCTAACAGAATTAACGAATGTTTCCTAACCATGCCCGGCATAGGTTTAGTGTTTTGAATCGCGCCTATGGAGTCATTTCATTCGTTGTCGTCTCCATTTTCTTATCTTCTTGTAATAATAATTAATAAAAGGACCACAATAGGAAGGTCTTTATCGTATAATTATTTATATTTTATAAAAAATTATTTTATTTTTTAAAAATGTAAAATTTGAGTCTCACTCCTATATAAAAATAAAAATAATAAAAGGACCACCATAGCCCAAAGTTTATGCAAGACTGACTAGTTAGTATTTGTACTCTATTTAGATTGTTTTTCAGAATTTTCTATTTAGCTGGTTTCGTATTTCATCGGACTATAAAGATAAATTATTAAATAGGAGGATAATCCTTAATATGGGATTCTCTTCATTTAATAGATTTATATAATCATACTTTTTAATTTTTGTGAGATGTGTTAAAAATAAGTTTTGAGTCTTTTATTTTAGGATTTGTGTGGATAAGGTAGAACTTTTAAATTCATTTTTATATAAAAAAATATGGATAAATTTATTTTTAAAAAATTAGGAATAAATTATTTTTTAAAATAATATAAAATTTATACATAAATAATTTTTAAATTTTAATTAAAATAATAACAATTATTTTAAAAATAGTAGAAATAATTGTATAGCGTGACCATAAACATGGCCGACGACAGCATGAAGCACAGACAGGGCGTGCTGGAGGAGAGTCCCTGTCAATGGTTGGGTCACCCCACGTGGTGATGCAGACAACGCCATTTGAATGAAACCACGTACAGTTAATCCAACCGAAATGAAACAGACTGTGAAGGTGGTGGGTAAGAAAGGCCAAAGCAACCAATTATTGGGGTTGCCTTCCCTTTTGTAAGGGCACATGTCTCGGCCTTGGCCTTCCCCGGTTCAGTCACGCTCGTCCGTCCAAATGTGTATGATATGTCACGTCAGGGAAACTGTTGTTGCGAATCTGTTTGCGATATATATAAAGGTACTCAATGACCCTTTCTCGAAGTATACCAAAAATCTAGGACTCTACTTAGGGTTCATAGCTGCCCTAAACAAGTAGAGATGTTTCGTAAATACACTCACTTAGGGAGGGGTCCAAGCTAAGAAGATGTAAGAAGCCAAGTTGATTCGTATCCTAGCTAGCATCTGTGACCATATATGGGTTTAAATGCATCACAACAACACATAGAGTGCGAGCAGCCTGCAGTCCTGCAGTCCTGCAGTCCTGAAGTCCTGCCCCCTAGGTGTGACCCATTAGGTGTTAAGGCTACAGTAACTGTTTATTTTGTTAATAATATGAATTTTAACTGTAATTTAATTAAATTATAATTTTTTAAATAATTAAGTATAATACATAAAAATATTTATTTATAAATTAATTTAATATATTAAATATTATATGTTAATTATTTTATTAATTATTTATTATTTTTAATTATTAAATTAAAATAAAATTTTAATAATTTTAATAATCCTAACAGAATTAACGAATGTTTCCTAACCATGCCCGGCATAGGTTTAGTGTTTTGAATCGCGCCTATGGAG